TGAAAGAAATATATAAATATCTCTTTTAAACATAGAAATATTATAATTTTGAAATTTTTAAATACTTAATTAAGCAAATATTTTGATCTATTTTAATGTTTTTCATTAAAAATAAACAGATGATTAAAAAATAAAAAGCATTTAAAATTTTAAAAAACAAACTATATTCAAAGAGTATGATGGTTTTTTACCACATAAAACCAAATTGCTTACAATTTTTTTGCAATTAAATATTGAACTCTCAGTAATATAAAGATATTATAGATTGTTCTGAAAGTATAATTTTATAATTATCATTGTTTGTATTAATAGATGAAATATTTTTTTCACTTTTGTTGTACCTACTATTTGTACTTTTTTTATAATTTCCTGTTTGAATGTGAAAGAAGACATTTCGTTTCGGGAAAACTACCTCTATCGTTTGACTGTTAAAAATAACCAATAATTTAAATTTTTTGAGTTGAGATGTCAATGCTAAAATGACAATTTTATACGAACGATCAATAGTTCTAAATCTTACTTACTTTTGAAGAACAAAGTCTCAGTTTAATAACCGTTTAACACTAAAATAACATATAATAGGGTTAAAAAGACGGTCATTATCTGTCACTTGTTGTCGTTGGCCATTGAGGCATAGGGGTGTGATTATTCTTATTTTCCAGTGGTGCCATCTAGAGCCAAGGATTCAACTTCCGTCACACCCCTCTTTAGGGAGGAGCCATTCATATACAGATCATAATTTTGACCTGAACCAGAGAGTGATCCATTTCCAATTCAGTACCCCTAGAGGTATAATTTGTTATGAAGGACTTTGTGATCCGACACAGCATCAGTCATTATTTACTACTATTTAAACTATTCATTTTTTTCACAATGCTCACCCGATATTGACTTTCGTCATTTGAGTATCAGAAGGGCAGATTTGTTTACGGGCACCATTTTAATTGGACCATCGTTGCTCCCACAGTTAGAAGTGCATAGAAGAGAAGGAAAAAACAGCCATGGCTTATCTGGGATTCGAACCCGAGTTCTTTCAGACTAAAAGTGAGTTCCCTGAGCAATTCATTTAGTCATTTTCTGTTCGTATAGTAAATGTCTATTTTGCAAAATTATAGTTCATATAATCACACATATTTTTTTACATAAATATATTTCCAATGGCAAAACTAAACGGCAACAAAAACAAAGAACCCTATAAAGAACAAACATAGAAAGAGAGAGAGAAAAAAAATAAGAGAAATAGCTGTAGTGAAAGTGTCCAGTAATAAAAAATCGTCTCGATATTTCATTCCACACTGATTGCTTTTCATCTTCGTATGCGTTGAAGAAACAATTGATGAACAACTGAAGGTTTTACATTTAAAAAGTATTGTGGCAGAATCGCAGCGACGTTACAGAGTTCTTCCAGAGAGATTTTTTGTTTAAAAAGTTTTTAAAAAAATTCTTTCTTTTTTACAGAAATTTACACGTAATATTTGAATTATACATTTAGATAATCACTTTTTGACTCCCTCAATTCGATTGTATCGTAAATCAATGTAATGTTTCGATTGTAGTTTTTAGCAGTTACTGATATTGATTTTTAAGCATCCCGATATATATCAAACAATTTATTGCTTTTGATTTCTCCATAGTTTTAAAATCCGATATTTTTTATATGATATTATTTATTACAACATCCCAATCTCGCATTTGAGGTGTCCGATTCGCGTGATTTAGTCGTCGATCTTTTTTTTCCGGCAATGACTACTACAGACTATATGATTGCTAATTATTTTTTTCATTGTGATCAATGTTTACAAAATGCGAAGAAGTAAATAATGTATGCGTCCCCCCCTCCTACAAAATATGAAAATATCGCCCATAGTATCAAAATAAAAGAAATGATTACATGTTCAATTAACAAAATATAGACACAGTTTTTTTTTTTGGTCTTGTAAACGCAGCGCTTTTGTTGTTTTACATTCGTAACATATATGTTTGTAATTATTGAAAGTATCACGCAGAAAGATATTAGTGCTGGGGAGTTTAGTCGCAGATAGCTCAAAAAATTCTGCTACAGGGTTAAAAAGCATTGTTCCTTATTAATACAATAGGCAGACTTTCGAAATTATTTCTATTCTCATGATGAGATCTTTAGAAATTTGAAAACAATAAATAAATTACAGCAATAAGAAAATTCATATATTTCATATTAAAAAAAACTATGGTTAATATGTTTTAAACTAACTTTAATTTTTAATCCTTTTTTTATTATTTTTCTTTATTATTATCTTTATTATTAATGTTTTTTTTTAATGAAATGCTCTTTTAAGCTTATTAATCTATAAGAAAATCTTTATATGTTTCATATTTTTCCTTTCATGATTTTAATAACCAATTTTGTCTACGACCGATTCAAGATAGTATACATATATTTTATTTATAATATATTATATCTTAATGACTCTAAAAGTATTTTTAGAGTAAATTGTAAAGTTAGAACAGTTCATTACACTTAAAAAGTATATAAAAACAATGAATATCTGAGAGAAGGATTGGTCTAAAACACCTGTTGAATGAAACCTTGACCCGAACCCGCATCCGCCACAATGACATTCAATATTTTGAGACTTCTCTGAATTAAATAACCCTCATTGACAGAAATTTCCTTTTTAACCGCTTCCTTTACCCATTTTTTTTTTTGAAAAAAATCGACATATTTTTTTTTAAAAATTTCATTAATAAAATACAAGCAGTTTAGAACATAATACGCAAGTTTTGAGATGAAACTTTAATTTTTTTATATGGGTAAAAAACATTTAATTGACCATCTCTTTGGGCAAATGAAAAAAGTTAAATATTAGTCTTTTTGTGGTGGTTTTTAAGATAAAGGACAACACAAAGTAATACTTTAAGTTAAAGGATTTTTTTTAAATTCTTTTTTTTTATTTTATACAAATTCAGCAACAATCGCAGAAAACACGTGTCCAACAACAAAACTTCCAAACGAAACTTTGCAAACCTTCAGAAGATTATTAATATATATATTTTAGCTTCAGGCGGCGTAAAATAGTGATAAAACAAAACGAACTGATTATCTCGGGCTAATAAATATCTGCAATACCCGAGCTAATCAGGTAAGCGGTTAAAAAAAGATTCATAATTACAATGCTTATAAGAATAAGAAAGTAATTATTAAACTGTGTGTCACAGGTAAATTAAAATATGGCGGATGATTCCTTTATATATTGATATAGGATGGTGGGTTGTTATATATTGTTATTTGTATTTGGATATAGTCATGATTAAGAAAAAGGTAATGATTGATTTTTATAAATAAACAAAATAAGGTCGAAAATAGCATAAAAGGTAATGAGGGGGAATCGTAGTACAATGCTATCAACCCAATAGGTGCAAAGGGTCTGTGGGGCTGGTAGTTATCGACCATGTCATCTATGAAAGGGTACCCCAACCGAGTTAACCCTTTTGAAGGCCGTGGTAAGTATACTTACCACCACGTTTTACCACTTTTAATTTAGGTTTCCATTTTTCAATAACTTCAGCTTTCTTGAAGTGAGTTTGAATAAAATTGGTAACCATTTGTCACTTTTAAAAAACGTATAAAAGTTATAAAATACATCATTCCTTTTGAAATTTGTAGCATTTAAGGAATTTATTTTATAAATAAAGAACAATAAAAGTCAGTAAGTTCCTAATAGGTCATGTTAAATATATTTACCACCAAAAAAATGGCATTTTTATAAACTAAATGAGTTATTTTTTTATATATCAGTTACTGTTCTGAAAACAATTTCAATTCCAAAAATACTTTAATTTACCTTAAGTAGAAATAAAGGGCCCATTAAAGGGTTAACACGTCTTATATACGAGTGAATTGGAATTATATTTTTGTAGTGGTGGATGATACACTCCCTCACCAGAATTATAGCTGTGATAGAATTCGATGAATCACTTGTTGTGTCATTGCAGTTTTGTAAGAAACCGGGAGAGCTGTATTAAGATCACCGTGCTTTCGCTGATCACGAGAACTGTATTAAGGTCACGGTTGCTCCTGTGTTGCCATTAGCAGTCGAGTGTATGCAGGATGATGTTGTGTGTTTGAGACGAGACTGAGTAGCAGCAGCGCGAGGAGGTGGATAATGTCGCAGTCGCAAGTCAACTGTTCAATGTAGATCATCCATCAAAGTTCAAATCGAAGTGAAGGAAGGCGTGATCGCATCAGGTCACCCATGTGGGGAAGGTTGTCTAAATCTACTATCCCCACGGGTCACAAAGTGTGAGGTTTGAACAAATTGGTATCAACAAATTTGGAATAAATTAAAGATAAATACGATAATGGCATGATACAAACTTATCATTTAATGAGCTTCCAATATAATAAACGAACCCAAACCAGAAAACTTTACTCACCACATAAAATTGATGAGAACAGCAAATGAATATTTTAACTTCCGTGAGCATTTATTTAAAAAATCAAACTCACAATATATTTAGAGGAAAATATCTTTGATAAAACAATTAACGTTAGGAATGTTATATCCAATTAAATTTAAAGAGGAGGAGAGTTTGAAAAATCAAGGGAAAGAGATTGGTTAAGTTAGCCCCCCTAAAAATAAGAGAAGAAAAAAGAATGGCGGGAAATAGGTCTCTCCCCACAGGAAGGACGATGACCGCGTTGACCATGAGGAAGGTCAAACAGAAAGTTAAAATAAATATAATTGCCATATAAAAAAAGGAATAAAGTTTTAAGAAAATTAAAGGATTAGGTGAAATTAAAGATTAAATTGTCACGTTACGCTAATTGTAAATGCGACACTGTGTGTTAAGAATTTAAAAAAAAAAATAGTTAACTTCATGACATGATGCACTTAGATATTTATTGTTATCAGAATAAAGAAAAAAAAGGTCGCAGAGATTTATATATTTATAACTTATTAATAATACATCCTATCTTTAATAATTTGGCTAGTTTCATTAAAATGTTTAAATAAAATGTCAGAGAAGAATGAAAAACGATTTATATTAAATAAATAATGCATTGAGAGAAAAAATGGTAAATACACCGTACGTGTATGGTTAGGACATATCTGGTAAAAGAAATCATAATTCCAGTCTTTAAATCACTATTTGAACAATTCATTTGATCATTTTGCTCTGTTGTTACAGTTAACCAAAAATTCTTCTTTTCAAAATTTATGTCACTCTATTTAGCAAAAAATACAAATGTCAAAAATAAAAGCAACCCCAATAAATGGTTTTTATGCCATGCTTGAAAGTATCACGATGAAATGTTCTTCCGAAACATTTTACCGTTTATTTCTCAATTTTTTGTGCTCTGTTACAAAATACAGTCCGTGGCTAAGATTCTATATGAAATCAGGTGATACAGCGCTTTATTGTTTTTATGTTTACGTTCGTGTATTCATGGGTTAAGTAAAACGATATATTATATAAATATAGATTATTTATTATATCAGGTATTCTATTATAATAATTAGACCAAATTATGAGACGCTGTTTTAATAATGACATGATTTGCACGAGTTTAGATGCAATACTTCAGGAGATATACTCCCGATTTGTATTTATTTTTAGGTATGGCAGTATAATGTTAACCCATTGATACAGGAGCCGTGAACAAATGCAAACAGGTTACATCTGAGTTAAAACAATACAGCTGTATGGAGTATCACCTGGGTCATTATAATTTTACATCGAATCTTAGAGTGCTTCGAATAATATGGCTAGAGACTGTAAAAACATTAAAAATAATTTTCGAGAAAATGAAAAAAAATATTTGAAGGAAAACGTCACAATCATTCGATTTTTTTAAAAAAAAAATTACTTCATTATTACTTCAATAAATAATAAACAATAAATACCCCCCCCCCAAAAAAAAAAAAAAAAANAGAAAGTTAAAAAAAAAAAAAAACCCCCCCCCCCCAAAAAAAAAAAAAAAAATTACTGCGATGTAATTTTCTGCATAACGAATTTATTTGAATGATTTTATTCGCTTAATCCTGGATTTTTGATGGAATGGAATCATTATTTATGAAAGATGTCGTTACATTTTTTATCCATGAATTAAAATATGGCGGAAATCTAAGCGATGTCATAAAATTTTTATGCCACACATCGATCCTATGGAACAACCAGAAGAGCAGACGAGACAATTTTGTGATTTCAGACACAGGCGTGTGGTTGTAGTCTGGGATTCTATTAGGTATATGGAATATTAACTCGCTTTTCTCAACATTAAAATTGAATGCTTTGAATGACACTCATTCAGAAGAGATCATTTGAGTTTTTGTTCGAATTATGAAAACTCTTAACGCAAAGACATTCGGTTGAAACTTCCATTTATTTAAAGTTTTAATAACGAGCAGCAGAAAATGACAAAAAAAATACTTCAATAATTAGCTGGAATTTTGAATATTTTTGTTTTAATCTAGATATTTCTGGAGATCAGTTATAATTAGAATTCCTGGAATAGTACACTTTTTCTTCTGTTCTTACAAGAAATTTGTAGGAAATTTTTTTCTTTACTTTTCTGTGTTATGTTTAATAATAAAGCTTAGATATTAGAATATTTTGAAATAATAAATCGTGAAATACTGTCTGTAGTTCTTAAAAATGCATTGTGATGCATAATTAGTTCGAAAGATTGAATTGTGAGAATGCAATTAATTAATGGAAGGTTTGAAATGAGTGGCGTCAATCATATTTGGCATGGATTTTTTTTTGAAGATTCCTGCCAGTCTTTTAATCGCCTCCCTCATTATCCCGAGTTAACTCGGGTATGTATAGATTGGAAATATATATTATACCGAGTCAACTCGTGCATAGCATAATTCGTCCAAACGTTTTGTTTCAGCAATTTTTTAATTGGACCTGAAGCAAAACAAGAAATGATAATAGATTGGAAGTTTGCTAATATTTGTTTTGGGAGTTGAGCTATGTGTGGGACGTGTTTTGTACAATTGTATACACGACGGTTGTTGAATTATGCATAGAAAAAAATGGCGTTCATGAGCAAAAGTAATTTTTCAGATGATGAAGAAGTGAACCTATACAAAGACTCATATTCAAATGTGTTCCTTTTCCCCTTGACAATTCGGGACAGTAAACGGATAGCAAATTAAATGTTTTTTATACATAAAAAAATTAAACTTTCATCTCAGAACTTTTATGTTTTGTTTTAGTTCCTTGTATTCATAAATGAAATTAAAAAAAAATAGGTTGATCTTTTGCATTTTTTTTCCCTTCAAAAAACTTGTTAAGTGAAGCGGTTAATCTAGAATATGATTAGAACCATCTTTGTTCTAAACCTCCATTTTTGCAGTATTGTATATCCGATTTTAATTTTGATACCTTTAATTTTAGTGCTTTAAAATGCTGATTTCCAAATCACCTTTACCAAAGTCACTTTCTTTCAAAATCTGTCCCACATTGAACTGATTGTAAGGACACGGTTTCCAGTAGAACACCGAAGTCAAGCACCACTGGCTGCGGTCAGTGTGTGATTTTGTGATCATTTGGATCAGTCTACGAAGGGACCGAGGATGTGTGGTATGGGTCCTTGTTAAATTGTGCAACCGTAAAGTGCTCGACTTCTCGCGCAGGTCATCGAGCCGCCATTCCCTCTGCAGAGGATCAAAATTGTGATGGCATGTTTTCGGATCAGCCTCGGGCATGCTTCCCAGACCGTCACCAATAGCTCATTGTTCAGCTCTAGAGGGACATAAATAAAATCCAACTACAACAACTTTAAAAATCTGATAATTTGTTTCCTCCTTTTTTCAGTTAGAAGCCAGATCCACAGATAACTATGGATGCCCTATTCAGAGTATTATAGAATAGAATTTGAGAAATTGTAACATCTGTTTAAAATTTAAATTTTTGTAGTGAGCGTTCATAGTGTATCGAAGTGTTCATAGAAGTGCTCATCGAAGAGGTCATAGTGTAAACTTAATCCAAAAGTTCCTTGCAATATGTTAAAAACTAGAGAAAGTTTTTCAGAACGATCCGGCCCCAAGATTATGATGCTAGTTTCTGAAAATTAATTTTTCTTCGTCATCGCATCATGTAAATGCTTTAAGTTCGCGCATATTATTTAGATTATCTCAAACAATTCTTAACGCTAAAAAGATAAGTATATCGTTACTGGATTTTCTAAGATTTTTAACTTACCTTTAGATTTTAAGCTTAATCCCATTTTCTCGTTATGCAACGTTTATACTCAAATCAATATAAGTTTTGATAATTACTTCTTCCAGTTTCGTATAAATTTATTACCCAATGGCAAAATTGGATTGGATGGCCTCTCCTCACTTCTAAACTACAATAATGAAGAGTAACCAGTGGCGACCTCTGATGTTTGATCATTTTTTTTGTCACATTTAATTTTATTATGCACTTGCCGCCAAAGGCGGCCAGCTGTCCGCCACGCTAAAGGTTTTCACAAGTAAAGTTTTTTAAAACAGAGCAGGAAATCTGAAGATTAGTGGACAATTAAGGTGTTTCTGTCCTGCAATTTTGTCTTCATATCCAGTTCTGCTGCAGATGTGTTATAGCTCTTGAGGATGTTTGAAGATGTAACTTTGCTATGGTAACCTGAGGCCTATGGTGACCTAACCTATAATATAACTATCAGGTGGAGACTTGTTCTTTTTTTTTAAAAAAAAGAAAGGTCTCAGAAATTGTAAAAGCATACAAAAGTTCCTTTCGAAATCATCATTGGCCAATAGCTGAAAACCTCTTCTAATCTTCTTGGACGTTTCTCTGATACTTCTTGGGCTCTAGAATTGCTTGTCGAAATTCGGTCATGTTCCATCCTTCTTTGACGTTCCACAGACGTTTCTTGGGCCCTTCTTCTTCTTTGAGAATCTCTTAATATCTTTTTCTTTGACAAAATACAAAGTTTTTTGGAAGGCGGTTCTGCCATGTCAGTAATCGGGTTTTTAAGAAGTCAACGAATACTTTAGAACAACAATTACTATGAAAGCAAATCATGAAACTTCAATATTAAAATCTAAGTGCTTACCTGCAAACTGAAACTTTCTGAAAATAACTAATTACATTTAATAAAAACTGTTAAAATAAAGAATAGAAAAACCAAAGAGATCCAAGGTAAGTGTGATCGTTCCTTCAAAAACAATTAAATTCCTATTTTATATATTATATAGCTACAACGCTTAAGAAAAAAAAAACTAAAATGCTAAATACATGAAAAGAACACGAAGACGAATTAATTTTTTATGGTATCAATTTCTATTTCTATATAATTTTTTATGGTATCAATTTCTATTTCTATATCTCTACAAAAATTATCGTCTTCGCTTAAGAAAAAAAAATAGAGCGTGGAAAGATGAAGAAAAACTTATTATAACGATTATGAACGGCGATAAATATATCAAAGCCAAGCGTTCTATTTACGTATCGAATATGTTGCCACATTTTTAATACAAAAGTTAAACTTTTCTCCACTTTGATAAATGTAAACTAATGCGAACCTTACAATTAAATTATTAATTCCTTCGTATATTATGGTTTAAGTTGTCTAAAATTAATATTTCAATTGTAAGGTTCGCATCAGCATACATTTATAAGAGTATATGCATTTTTAATAGTTTTTTGAATATGGCTCTTTGAAGACAAAAAAGCATGGATTTTCTTACAAAATGACTGATAACTAAAAAACTAATCCAAATTTTTGAAAAAGAAAAAAAAATACTTCTTCATCATGTCAAAACACAATTATGTGCCGAGTTTCGTGCCTGGGCGAGGCTTCTGGGGCGATATATTGTGATTACAGACAGACAAACAGACACATACACAGCCGCGTTTATTATTATGTATAGATTAAGTGGGTGAGTTTATTTTTGAGGCATGGGACCAGAGAGATCCCATAAATGCTTCTAGAGTTGTGAATAAAAGAGAATTTCATCATTTGAACGATATTTTTGTTTCTATTGTTTTCATTAGGAATCAGAAATTCTAACCTACAGTACAAACTGGATCTTTTTCAATACTAATTCAGATAAATATCGCACATAAAGAGGGTCCAACCTGATGGACACGACTCCAAAAATTAGAGTGGAAGCAAGGAGAAAAAAAACGATGCCAGGGCCTAAACTTACCGAAGCTGAGAAAGCCGAAGAAGGTAGACGGGATTACCTTAAGCATTACACACAAACAGAAAAATGAAAGGATTCCGTACTCAAACACAAGCATGAAACCCCCCGTCCCTCACTAAAGCACCGAAGTGGTTAAGAGAATTGAACCCTATCGAAGAGCGAAGGGTGACACTCCGAACTCCTTTCATGCAAATATGTGAACTGGATTTTGTTCACTAGTTAGGGATAAAATAATCCATTGTCAATGTACCCAATGACCGCAGACTGTCCTCCAAACGATATAAATGATTCTATCAGTATTCATGTGGAATTGAAAAAAAAAGTCTAGCTTTTAAATCCTATTTCATGTGTGAAGTTGTGAATCCGAAACGGGTGTATGATGCAGCTTACAATCTCCATCAAACACTCATCCGAAAATGTTAATATTGATCTCGATTGGCTGTTCAATGTCTATTCAGTCATCAAAAGAATTGACACACAATGTGTCTGAGCTGAATTTAAATATGTCTGCGAAATTGTGTATCCAGCAGTTCAGGATTAACATTTAAAGATGTCCAAGAT